TCCTTAATAAGACTAAATCACACATTTGAGGTTTTTTCCTGTTATGTACAATAGTTATGATACATAGTTCCTATTATATAAACAGTTATTGACTATGATTAGTTGTTCTATAATATTGTACAATTGGTACTGTCTATGATTCCTTATTCTACATAATTCTTGTTATGTACAATTGTAATTGACTATGTTTCCTTATTCATTTCTAATGGTTCATGTTATGTACAATAACCATGATTCATAGCCCTTATTATGTCCAATAACTTTGGCTATGATTCCCTTTCTCTAGAACAGCTTACGGTCAACTCTCGCAAATTTTTGGCCAACGTGGCAGTCACGTGAGCAGGGTTATATAATCATTTAAAAAAGTATCTGTGAAATAATTTTGCTATTAGTTACTAAAATTTGGAGCAAATTGGGCCAAATACATGTGTCATATATGAAACCTTACCTCTCGTGGAATTCCAATCTCACATCACATATTTCATATGCTTGTGAGATTTTTAATTCATCATAAAATGAAAAATATCAACCTGTGAGTGCTCTATTAGTCAACAACTGTTTCTAAAAGTTACATAGTAACTTTTTGCATCCTCTGGAGTAATTTAATGATAATTGGAGCTCAGGAAGTTAGATTTTTTAGGCCATAAATACCAATTTTCCTATCCGCCATAAGGTACCTTTTGTCAATTATGGTCACAATTATTAGCATTGAAAAGATCAAAACCTTTCTTTTTACTCATAGCTATTTCTACTAGCTTCACAGGCTATCTAACTATAGACAAAAGCCTGTTTTAGCTAAAAATCCTAGAAAGACTGTTTAATTGGCTGAGTAGCCAAAGTAACTTTCACATCAAGAATAAAGCTAGTGCACGGATGTAATCAATGGGGATGCAGCTATGACTGTCCGCCATCGTGAGTGACAAGAATGTACATGGAATGAATGGAGATGCAGAAACAAACTGGGATTTTCCAACGATGAGATATCATACTTGGCTTTAGAATATTGTAGAGAGTTCTTCACTTAATATTAACTTCATCTCTTAGCTTGCATTAGCCTGTAATGTCAACTGCAGAATTTATTCAGATTTTTTTCCTCTACTCTCCCCATTCCACCATGTACATTCTTACCACTCAAAATGGTGGACAGTCATAGCCACACACATCCCTGTTGATTACATCTGTGTAACGTCTTTTATAAGGTTTTCTGGGCCATTGCACTGAATTTGTCAGTACACACTTGCCTTCCTATGAGCCACTTATCCACCTGTAAGCATAGACTTCTAGAAAGCCTTTACAGTCTTCATTCTTGCACTATAGATAGAAGTTATTGTGCTTGAACAGAGACCTTGTACCAGCTAATCTTCATTTCTCCACCATTATGGTGCTTGTTAATTATTTTAATTTATTTCAATGAATATTATTATGCACTGTATTTACGTGTCCACTCCTTTCATTGCAATTTTTGGCCCTTTTAAAGTTCCTTTAAAATTTGGCCACCACCATTACCATGGGCTATAAATGCTAAAAATATTCAAAAAGGAATTCACTCTGTGCTAAAAAGTAATGGAAATGAATGCAATTAGGATTTTGATCAACTAAAACCCAATGTGTTTTCAAAATCCTACTCTCGTGATGTGAAGTTTACTATTGCATTTACAATTTTTTCATTAAAAAATCCAATTTTGATCAGAATCAATTCAAACTCTAAGAACATAATGTATCGTAAAAATAATAAAAAATTAACAAAAATTTTTATATTGGCAATTTTGTCTAATTTTTCAAAAGACCATGTATAGTCTTTGGCCTGATTTTTTAGCAACTTCAAAATTTATAAAAACTTGGAATCAGCAGTATCAACTCAAATTTTCTACGTAACATAAACATGTATAATTATCTATCAGTGAAATTATGATAAAAATAGATAGTGAAACTTGATTGGCCTACTACTCTATATTACTTTATCTAGTACTTTTCCTTATGTTTTATGACCGATGTACATGTATTTCTATAGGTATCCAATGGTAGTAGGAGGGTCCAGTTGTTTGATGCTGATGCAGAGCAGGACGATGAAGATATGTGAACTATAAGCTTATTAGTACAGTGTTATAGTAGTTTCAAAAAATTTTTTATTTATAGTTATACTTCTCGTATATTATCTTTAGTTCTGTAATAGTTGTTCTTGCCAAAAAAATTATTGAAAACGTCATTTTTCTGATTAACATTAACATTTTTGTCCATGGAGGGTGGTTACCGCGTACCGGCGGATTGCGTGATAACAACAATGGCGTCGAGGTTGTATCATACTGGCATCAGTTTTAGTGCTCACAATTCATTCAGGATGCAAGTAAAACTCTTCAGAATCACACTGTTACTTACCATTAGCTTTTAGACTATTTTATCACTCAATAGGAATCTGAGAAATACCGCATCACGTGAGACTCATTAATATTCAAGCTCAACAGTTTGTGTTACTATTTTTAGATGCATTCTTTGTCAAAAGGACCAAAGCTAACAGAATACCAGAATACCTTGATTACAAAGGTAGTGGAACAAGAACGTTAACACTAGTTAGAAAATTTGATGGAGTCACAGAGGTATGTGTATTCTAATAATTATTGAGAATTTTCTTGACGCCTTTTTTGATACCTCATTCAGTCTTATATTTCACATTGCAGTAGCTCCATTATTATTGAGTTTTGTAAAAGTTAATTTTACAGTAAGTAATACAGTATAGCCTAATGCTGTATAGTGCAAAATTTTTGAGAACTGTAAATTTTGCAGATTTTGCAATTCTTTGAAGATTCATAAAAATTAATTCAAGGAAAATTAAATTTTTGTAGTACAAGAGGCAGAAGGTATAAATTTGTGAAAATGAAATCCACAAAATAGATTTTTAAGCAAATTTGCGTAATATACAGCCCTCAAAAATTTTGCACTATGTGGTTTGAGGGAAGGCCTGCATGCATACCCTCAAAAAAATTACTAAGTTGCTTAAAAATTTGGCCAAATACCATACAGAAATTTTCCAAAAATAGAAAATTGAATAGGATTCATTCTGTGCTGAAAAGGATAAGTAAGAGTTTGAAGGACTAAGTTTGAAATAAAATCCTACTCTTGTGAGTTGTGACGTACGCCATCAAAAATCCAATTATGATTTATTGGTGGGGAATTAATATTGGCAATTGGTAGTTAAGAGACATCCAGATTATGATTACCTACATTATAATACACAATTTAATGAATTTTTTGTTCATTTCAGACCTTTGGTTGATCATAACAATGAGAAAACGTAACAAAATTATCGTATTTCTCCATTGTTATGGGTGTGGGACGGATCCT